ACCCCCATCTTGCCCCCCACCACAGCTGCCCCGCCACCCCAGCATGGCCTTTCCCCAAGGAAGGACCAGCTCCGCTCCCAGTGCCGGTGTTTAATTGCAATCTGCAGAAATTACAGCATATGGCGTTGCCAGCCGGGAGCTCCCCCTCTGCCATGGCTGCCCCATCACACTGTCAGCCCTGCCGAGAGCTGCCAGGGCAGTGCAGAGTCCCTGTCCCCTCCCATGGTGACAAAGAGAGGGACAACCTCCCCTGTCCCAGGCACTGGGGCAGAGCCGGGCACTTGGCAAGTCTGGGCTCAGAGGTGCAGCACCGTGTCGGTGAGCTGGAAGGGGACCGCCGGGTTTCGGCACTTTCTCACAGGTAGTTGTCCTCTTCCTCCTCCTCCTCCTCTTCCTCATCCCGCGCCAGTGCCTCAATGTCATGGGTGATGTCCGTGATCATGCGGTTGAAGGACTCGGACTCAGAGCGCAGGGACCAGCTGTCGTAGCTGCGCACGGCCGAGGCCGACGTGTTGCTCATGCTGCGCTTGATGCGGCCGAAACTGTCGGTGAGGATCCCGCCCTCCCGGATGCCGATGCTCTCCAGGAAGGTCTCAAAGTACCCGATGTCTTGGTCAGGGATGAAGGGCCTCATTCCTGTCATGGGCACCATGAGCCGGCACCGTGAATCTCAGGGTGCCCCTGCCCGGGTGGGCAGCGCTGGGGCTCAATGCCAGCCAGCCCCACCGGCTGCTTGGGGGGGGGACTCATCCCATCCCATTCCCAGCAAGCAGCGAGGTCCCAACACCCCCCAGAGCACATCCAGCACCAGCACCCTGTCCCCAAGAGATGCACGGATATCACTAGGGTGGCGCAGTGACACAGGGTGGCTGCAGTGGGAGCCCAGACACTCACCCAGGAGGAGGAATTTCCTGCGGTCCCCATAGAGGCGCAGGAGCTCCCCGCAGTACTCCTGCACCGGCGTGCCCAGGCGATACTCGCGGAGCAGGATGGCAAACTGCTGGATCTCCTGCGGTGACAGCTTGTTGCGCAGCTGTGGGGACACAGGGACAGGTCATGATTGGGGACACCGGCTGTGCACAGCTCTGGCCCCCCCCTCCACACCCTGCCGGCTGCTCCCTGGTGCGGAGGGCTCAGAGCTGCCCAGGGCTCCTCGCAGGGCCCCTCTCCTGTCCCCGTCCCCGCACCGTGACCATGTAGTCCTGCAGCTGCTCCAGCCCCGCGCCGCTCTGGTCGCTGCCGCTGCAGGCGGTGGCCAGGGAGCGGCGGAAGGAGGGCGAGGAGGCGCCGCTGTAATACGCTTCGAAGGTCTCGTGAGAGCCATTGCTGCAAGAGGACGTGGGTCTGTGGGTGCCGGCACCCCTCGTGTGCCTACCTACCCCCCTGCGCTGCACAGCACCCACCGTCCGGCAGGACTGGGGCATCTCTGCAGCCAGGACAGGCGCCCACCCTGGGACTGGGGCACCCACCCCCGTGCAGGGGCACCTTTGGGGGAGCCAGACTCACAAGGAGCTGCAGCAGCTGAAGTCGGCGTCGTAGCCGTACGTCCCGTCTGTGCGGCAGCTCTCGCCTGGGGAGGGAAAACCGAGGTCTGAGAGTGGGGCCATGGCAGCGTCTTACATGCCCCCTGCACCTCTGTCCATCAGCCCCGTGACACTTGGCTCGGTGTCCCTGTGCCCGTCCCCAGCCACTCACTCCTGCTGGAGAGCCAGGGCCGCGTGGGCGTGGAGGTGTAGTGGTACCCAGCGCGGTCCACGCACTCGATGCTCTGGTCCCCATAGATGATCTGGAAGACCTGGCAGATGAGCGCGCAGGACTCCTCAGCAGCATCCTGCGGTGGGAGGGAGGAAGGGAGGAACCATGAGTGGGCAGGTGACCGTGTGCCAGCGAGTGGCTGTGTGGCGGTGGGTGGCCACATGCC